TACACTGATTTCACACTTTAGTCAATTGCAGTTGAAACTCGAGCTTCCTTTCCATAGCAGTTCAGTCAGGGCCCTCTTCTATCCACCAACAGCTGATAAAAAAAAAAAAAAGAAAAAAAAAAAGCATCCCTTATGCTGTGATTGCGGTCCGATACAGGATGCTACAGTACTTGTCTGGAACTGAATGAAGCCAGGCAGTTAGCTGCCTGGCTTCATTAGCTGCCTCGCGTGGAATCTGCCGTGACTGGCTGGCAGGGCGCTACAAGGACCTCACAACAAAAGGCAAACAAAGAAAAAGACATGTCTCAGGGTCCTCACGTACTGGCCAGATACATTCCTCAAAGCACTGGTGTAACTTCCACCTACCTGAGGGTATTCTTCCCCACGTCTGTGGATTCATAGTTCCTCGTTTCTTTTCTTGATCTTTCCTTTTTCTTCTTTGGCCTCCATCCCTGCACTGTTGAAATACAGACCCAGGTTCGAATGGCTTGATTCTGAATTGTGTAGGGCGGCCGTTCCACGCCCTGCCACCTGACATCTGGGCCGAGGCCAATCTGGGGTGTGGCCGAGACATCTGCGCCGTGGCCAATCTGGGGTGGGGCCGAGACATCTTGGCGGCCGTGGCCCAACCATCGGGCTGGTTTCTTTCTTTTTTTTTTTTTTTTCCAAGCTGCGGCGTGGCGCAGTGCAGGGCGCGACCGGGGGAAAAAAAAAAAACAAGAAACGTCCATGTGCCTGACTGAACTTCTAGAAAAGGACAACCCGAGTTTCAACTGCATTTGAATTTTTGTCTGCCTTTTACCGTTCATTTTAGTCGGGCTGTGTCATCATCTATCGCTTGCAATGGTATTGAGTTCTCATGTATGATTGAGATTCACAGTTTCTCGATATGGCGCTGGGGTATGTTTGCAGTGGTTTAGGGTGCTACTCACAGGGTTGGATGATATGAGAGACCCGGTGAAGAGCAAACTAGAGTTGTATCCATTGGGTGCGTGGTGGGAAACCCGTCTAGGCAACACAGGCTCTTTATAGCGTTTTGGATAGTGAGGTTGAGAGGGTAACCCTAATGTCTAGTCCTCCCTCCCAGCTCTTAGTCATTGAGATTGCCCTTTAGTTTGATATTCCGTAGGTCTTCGGTATCTGGATTGTTGTAAAGCTCTGAAGCCCTATGGGTGGCGACGCCATCAGCGGGAGTGGGAGACTCACTAGTGGCGAACGTTTCCCGGGCGCGAAGGGTAAAATAATTGTCAGCCATATTTTCATTTTAGCTGGAATGTGTTCCCATCTATCGTTCGCTTTGGTATTGAGTTCTCGCGTATGATTGAGATTCACAGTTTCTCGTTATTCTTAAGTGCTGGAGTATGTTTGCAGTAGTTTAGGGTGATACTGACAGGGTAGGGATGATATGAGAGACCCGGTGAAGAGCAAACTAGAGTTGTATCCATTGGGCGCGTGGTGGGAAACCCGTCTAGGCAACAAAGGCTCTTTACAGCGTTTTGGAAAGTGAGGTTGAGAGGGTAACCCTAATGTCTATTCCTCCCTCCCAGCTCTTAGTCATCCAGATTCCCCCCTTTTTTTTTTTTCTAGTTTGGTAGATCTTGGAATTTGGATTGGTTGTTTTCAATCGTTTATTTTCTGTTGACAATATTAGTATGCCCAGTCTAAAAATTTAGTAAGTACTTGGTCTGAAATTTAGACTTGAATTGTATCTGAGAATTTAGTTTGCCTTTGGAAAATAGTTTAGGGTCAAACTGTATAAATTTTGTGAACTGCCAGATTTGCAGATTATAGTCCCTAGTTCTTTGCCAATAGTGTTTCTATCCTAAGAACATGCCCGTGTTTTCCTGTGCAGATATAACATCATAGGCTGAAGGAGTGGAGATTTTCTGCTATGATTAGTTCAGCCACCTTTTTCTGTGCTTCAAGGCTATTTTGAGGAGTTTTTCTTCCTTTTGAGGCTGAGAGGTCTTGGGACGCTGGACCCGGGGCCAAGTCCCACTAGCAGCATTGAGCTACCTCAACGCCTGAATCTGGAGGTGTTTGTGGAGATGTGCAGTTCAGGAAACTCAACACCATTTCTGCACATCTCTGCAAAAGCGTCCACATTCAGGCATTGCGGTAGCTCAACGCTGCTAGTGGGACTTGGCCCCCGGTTTCGAGCAGGTTCTTTTCCTTGGCAACATCGGGTAGAATTGTTTTTTTTTTTTTTTTTTTTTTTTTTTTTTTTTTTTT